GTAGATGAACTCGGAGTCAAAGAGTGATTTGATTTGTTAGCGTCGGCGCGTGATGCTTCAAGCGTTGAGCGCCGATCCAGCAGCTCGGCTTGCTTCACCAGCAGACCGCGGATCTGTTTCTCGACGTATTCCAGCTCCTGCTTCACCGTGAAGAGCTCGAATGTGTCTTCATCTGCACTCAAAGGTAATGTTAGACACGCATCTGATATGTTCGCCATTATAACGGATGATCAGTAAATTAGTAGTGATACTACAACTATCACTACTAATTTAGGATTGAAATGTCGGAAATAACCAGGATTCAGTGAAACGGGTGTAAAATGAGACGATCAAATAGGCGAGAGGGCACGCGTGGAATGCTAGCGGGCTAAAGGCTAGTAGCCAGGATTTAGGGAGGTTGGATATAAGTAGCGATATCAAAGCAATCCAATTGTTTTTTATAAGGAATACTATCGAGGATAAGTTCACATAATATAAAAATAGAAAGTGCTTGTTTATAAATAAGTGGTAAAGAAGAAAATCAAGGATTTGTGAAGAAATTCTCCGGAGCTACAAACACAAACCCACAAAGGCATAAAGGTGAATGAATATTTTGGGGTGAACTACTAATACAATGAAGCTCTTATGATTTCATTGATTTTGTAATAAAATCAATGAAATCGTGACAATGCAAAAATGGTAATCGCCTCCCATGCCAGAGATACCAATTCGAGTCCTAGTCATGCTGAAGAAATTGAATGCAAAGCCTAAGAACAGGCTCGTCCGGGATTTGAACCCGGGACCTCTCGCACCCGAAGCGAGAATCATACCCCTAGACCAACGAGCCAATAGAGACGTCTCTCCAGCTGTTGCCTGGGTGAATTTTCGAATTTAATCTACAACTAAACGGCAGTAGAGCAAAGTTGTCGGAACAGAGGAAAACCGCACGGCATCACCTCCACACATGCTAGGGATCGAGCCACGCCAATTATTTTTTGAGAGTGATGGACACCTTCTGTCTGCATCTTTGAGGGGTATTAGCTCAAATGGTAGAGCGCTCGCTTAGCATGCGAGAGGTAGCGGGATCGATGCCCGCATTCTCCATGTGGTGTACCTCTCTTCAAAGGGGCACTCCCTAAATGAGCTTCTGAGGATCTTCACCGTCAAAAAGTTTGGTTGTTTTTTCGGACGAGGTCCTGCTCAAATTCCTGGCAAGAGCAGGACCCTCTCAGATCGCTGGATTCAGAGTCCAGAGTGCAAACCATTGAACCTTGGAACCTTGGTATGGGTCGCCTTTCCCCAACGGCTGAAGAGATTAAAAGCAAATCAATAGAACGGGCTCGTCCGGGATTTGAACCCGGGACCTCTCGCACCCAAAGCGAGAATCATACCCCTAGACCAACAAGCCAACACAGAAGTCTTTCCTGCTGCTGCCTGGGTGCAAACATTTCCGTTTACATGCCGTGGTGGACCTCCCTTTTAGGCTCACTTCAATGGGACACTCCAGAAAAAGGCCCACGAAAGGCTTTCTCACGAGGTAGCGTGGCCGTGCGGTTTAAGGCGCTGGATAAAGGCTCCAGTCTTTTGGGAGGGGTGGTTTGGAACCCCACCGCTGCCAAAACAGGATTTTAAAAGGTACTCGTGGCTGCTATGCCAAAGCGAAAAGACTGGAGAAGTGACACTGCTTGCTCACAGTCTCTTCCAAACCCGGCCGCTTTTTTTTTTCCTTGACCAAACTCGCGGCTTCAGAGCCTGACGATGAAGGTTAGCACCCAACTTTTTCCCTATTTATGAATTAAAAAATAGGCAAGAATCGTCCCACGAAAGGGTAGTGTGGCCCGAGGGGTCTAAGGGCCTCACTTCAATGGGACACTCCAGAAAAAGGCCCACGGAAGCCTTTCTCAAGGTAGTGTGGCCGAGCGGTCTAAGGCGCTGGATTAAGGCTCCAGTCTCTTGGGGGGCGTGGGTTCGAATCCCACCGCTGCCAAGACATCATTTTAGAAGGCACTCGTGGCTGCTATGCCAAAGCAAAAAGACTGGAGAAGTGACACTGCGTGCTCACAGTCTCTTCCAAACCCTGCCGCTTTTTTTTTTCCTTGATCAAACTCACAGGCTTCAGAGCCTGACGATGAAGGTCAGCACCCCACTTTTTCCCTATTTATGAATTAAAAAAATAGGCAACAATCGTCCCACGAAAGGGTAGTGTGGCCGAGGGGTCTAAGGCGCTGGATTTAGGCTCCAGTCTCTTCGGAGGCGTGGGTTCGAATCCCACCGCTGCCAGCAGAGGTTTTTAAGAGGGCCAGACGTCTTAAATGTTCTTTGAAAAAAGAGACGTTAAAAGAAAAAGTTGGCGAAAATGGCCCACGGAACGCTTAATCACAAGGTAGCGTTGCCGAGCGGTCTGAGGCGTTGGATTAAGGCTCCTGTCTCTTCTGGGGCGTGGGTTGGAATCCCACCGTCTGTCTGTTCTTCTTCTGTCTGCGCCCCACTCTGACTGTTCTTATCCACAATTTTTCCAGAAATATCCTGTTTGCCCTAGTCATGCTGAAGAGATTAAAAGCAAAGCCTAAGAATGGGCTCGTCCGGGATTTGAACCCGGGACCTCTCGCACCCAAAGCGAGAATCATACCCCTAGACCAACGAGCCAACACAGAAGTCTTTCCTGCTGCTGCCTGGGCGCAAACATTTCCGTTTACATGCCGTGGTGGACCTCCCTTTTAGGCTCACTTCAATGGGACACTCCTTAGATGAGCTTTTGAGGATCACTGCTGTCGAAAAGTTTTTTAGGTGTTTAGTTATTCTGCCAAGAAGCGTGACGGCAAAGAGCCAGTGAAGCCTTTGCTTTTAAATCCCATGTTTCCCAGATAGCGATTCAGTTTTAGAGTGCCAGTTTCACCACCAGTCAGGCTGAAGAGATTAAAAGCAAAGCCTAAGACCAACTAGGGAGGGTAGGATTGAACCAGGGACCTTTAGATCTTCAGTCTAACGATATACCAGCTGAGCTATTTCTGCCAGAGGTGCTGGAAGATTGTCTAGCAGAGATTAGCAGAGCAGTTCTTATCCAAAATTTTGCCAGAAATATCCTGGTTGCCCTAGTCATGCTGAAGAAATTGAATGCAAAGCCTAAGAACGGGCTCGTCCGGATTTGAACCCGGGACCTCTCGCACCCGAAGCGAGAATCATACCCCTAGACCAACGAGCCAATAGAGACGTCTCTCCAGCTGTTGCCTGGGTGAATTTTCGAATTTAATCTACAACTAAACGGCAGTAGAGCAAAGTTGTCGGAACAGAGGAAAACCGCACGGCATCACCTCCACACATGCTAGGGATCGAGCCACGCCAATTATTTTTTGAGAGCGATGGACACCTTCTGTCTGCATCTTTGAGGGGAATTAGCTCAAATGGTAGAGCGCTCGCTTAGCATGCGAGAGGTAGCGGGATCGATGCCCGCATTCTCCATGTGGTGTACCTCTCTTCAAAGGGGCACTCCATAAATGAGCTTCTGAGGATCTTCACAGTCAAAAAGTTTGGTTGTTTTTTCGGACGAGGTCCTGCTCAAATTCCTGGCAAGAGCAGGACCCTCTCAGATCGCTGGATTCAGAGTCCAGAGTGCAAACCATTGAACCTTGGTATGGGTCGCCTTTCCCCAACGGCTGAAGAGATTAAAAGCAAATCAATAGAACGGGCTCGTCCGGGATTTGAACCCGGGACCTCTCGCACCCAAAGCGAGAATCATACCCCTAGACCAACGAGCCAACACAGAAGTCTTTCCTGCTGCTGCCTGGGCGCAAACATTTCCGTTTACATGCCGTGGTGGACCTCCCTTTTAGGCTCACTTCAATGGGACACTCCAAAAAAGGCCACGAAAGGCTTTCTCACGAGGTAGCGTGGCCGTGCGGTTTAAGGCGCTGGATTAAGGCTCCAGTCTCTTGGGAGGGGTGGTTTGGAACCCCACCGCTGCCAAAACAGGATTTTAAAAGGTACTCGTGGCTGCTATGCCAAAGCGAAAAGACTGGAGAAGTGACACTGCTTGCTCACAGTCTCTTCCAAACCCGGCCGCTTTTTTTTTCCTTGACCAAACTCGCGGGCTTCAGAGCCTGACGATGAAGGTTAGCACCCAACTTTTTCCCTATTTATGAATTAAAAAATAGGCAAGAAATGGCCCACGTAAGGCCAGCGTGGCCGACGGGTCTAAGGCGCTGGATTTAAGCTCCAGTCTCTTCGGAGGCTTGGGTTCAATCCCACCATTGCCAGCAGAGATTTTAAAGAGGGCCAGACATCTTAAGTGTTCTTTGAAAAGAGACGTTAAAAGAAAAAGTTGGCGAAAATGGCCCACGGAAGCCTCTCTCACAAGGTAGTGTGGCCGAGCGGTCTAAGGCGCTGGATTAAGGCTCCAGTCTCTTCGGGGGCGTGGGTTCGAATCCCACCGCTGCCAAGACATCGTTTAAGAAGGCACTCGTGGCTGCTATGCCAAAGCAAAAAGACTGGAGAAGTGACACTGCGTGCTCACAGTCTCTTCCAAACCCTGCCGCTTTTGCTTTCCTTGATCAAAACTCACAGGCTTCAGAGCCTGACGATGAAGGTCAGCACCCCACTTTTTCCCTATTTATGAATTAAAAAAATAGGCAAGAATCGTCCCACGAAAGGGTAGTGTGGCCGAGGGGTCTAAGGCGCTGGATTTAGGCTCCAGTCTCTTCGGAGGCGTGGTTCGAATCCCACCGCTGCCAGCAGAGGTTTTAAAGAGGGCCAGACGTCTTAAATGTTCTTTGAAAAAAGAGACGTTAAAAGAAAAAGTTGGCGAAAATGGCCCACGGAACGCTTAATCACAAGGTAGCGTTGCGAGCGGCTCTGAGGCGTTGGATTAAGGCTCCTGTCTCTTCTGGGGCGTGGGTTGGAATCCCACCGTCTGTCTGTTCTTCTTCTGTCTGCGCCCCACTCTGACTGTTCTTATCCACAATTTTTCCAGAAATATCCTGTTTGCCCTAGTCATGCTGAAGAGATTAAAAGCAAAGCCTAAGAATGGGCTCGTCCGGGATTTGAACCCGGGACCTCTCGCACCCAAAAGCGAGAATCATACCCCTAGACCAACGAGCCAACACAGAAGTCTTTCCTGCTGCTGCCTGGGCGCAAACATTTCCGTTTACATGCCGTGGTGGACCTCCCTTTAGGCTCACTTCAATGG